CTCCAGCATCGGTTTTTGTTGAGTCGAACCAGCTAATGTTTCTCCAACCATCCTATTGGCTTCATCAGAGGTTGACTGAAACCTGACCTTGACCTGCTCTTATATTGTTTGAGGAGGGCGAGACTAAATGACGGGCATAGGTAAACAACGTCTCGGGTGACGAATTCCCATATTGCTGACAGGTAAAGACCTGAGTCGCGGTTTAGAGTGTTAAGTTGCTTACAGACTTCTGTAGATTATCGGATTTTTAGTTGGTAGAAGAATTGATTACATGCATGAATTTTAGTTTTATTGAATAAAATTTTATGTCCGTTTTCGTAATTATGTTCGGCAACTGCTGATGAGTTTATTTTTTTTAGTCTTAGCTCTTTCATGTTCTTTGAGCCTAGCTGATATTTTTCTTCCGGTCTCTCCAATGTATTCTTTGCAGCATATGCATGGAATGCTGTAAACTCTTGGCATCTCAAATTTAATATTATCTTTGACGGATTTGAAGGTGTTGAGAGATTTTTATCTGGGTGTGACGTTACATTTCTTTAGAACTTTTGATATGTGGTAAGTGATGTTTTTTTGAATGTGAGGAAGGACAGCAGTGGAAAGTGTGGGATTGCTTTCGGCCTCATTGCTATTGGAAGGTTGTGGTGAAGTGTATTTTGTGATGGAATGCTTAATATCTTTAATGTGGAGAAGAGAAGGAAAAAGGCGTTCAGTGACTCGGACTGAGATGTTTTTGCGGCTCTGCAAACAAGAGAGTTGATATCAGTCTGTGTGCATAGGTTTTCTGTAACGCAAAGGCCCAATGTTATGTTTAATTTTCTGTATGGGAATCAGTCCTCCGACACAGTGTTTACGCCCCTCGTTTAGCTCCGCCCCCCCTCAAACAATATATAAGCAGGTACAGAGTAAAATGCGAGCCAGTTTCAGTCAAGCTCGGAAGAAGCCAACAGGATTTACGAAACGTTAACTAGTTCGACTCAACAAAAACCAACGCCGAAGGAATCCAGAAGTTTTATAAAAAGTATAACGGTACTTGAGTTACGAGTTTGTTTTGGCACTAACCGGGCACAGGGGCAATAGTGGTCAATAAATGAGTGTCAGAAGAGGCTATTGCAAACTATACTTTTTTGATGACCATTAGTTTTGGGTACATTTTGCAAGACAGCATGAACACATTCACTGAGGATCGTGTGACGTAACCATCACAGCCATAAATAAAGATTTTTATTTATGATCAAATCAACCCTCGTCAGAGGGTAGAAGAGATCGTCCTGTGGGTGAAAGTCCATTATAAATTAGAAGATTTCAAATGTATTCACGTATGTATTTAATAGACAAAAAGGAGGAAAAACTAGGGACAGATATACAGAACTTTTAATATTTTTCCTGTTATGGACAAAACTGCTGGATTTGTAAGTAGAATACAGGAATCTCTAAAGGCATACAACTTACTAATAAATGTCAATAACCACTTCTTTCAACAATGATCGACACATGTCCCAGAGTTCCAAGAGAAAATTTTAGTGGTCTTTCAGAAAGAATTCTTCAGTGTGGCTTAAGATAATAATAAGGTAATATAATAATAATAAAGGAAATAATTCTATTGAACTGCGGTGGCTTTTACTTGAAGAAAGATTTTACCAGTTATATAAAATATGTTTGATATAGTGTCATACAGTAATAAACACATTTTCTTGAAAATCTAGACAATTTAGCGCTCTTATTTGAATTGTTAAAAAGCACTCTGCCAGCGTCTTAGTAAAATACCAGGTCATCAGAATATTTCTTGAATAGTATCTATATAATAAATTGGAATAAGAATTCTTTCTTTGTTATGTTATTTTGCATTTTGTTGACAAGTTATACATTTGAAACTTCAGACGATTTTTGCTGAACACATTCAGGTAACGCTGGTCCGCACCTGCAAATATTGCCTTTTGCAAAGTTTTGACAAATTTTAAATCACGTTAGACTGCCGATTGAGGTCTTTAATAGTTAATACTCAATTTGTGAAACGCGAGCTATGCGCAAACAGTGGCTGCCTCGAATATTAAATATTGATGAAAAAATTTGAATAAATGGTTTAAAATATGTTTAGACAGTAGTTCTACCATTTAACTTTTAAAAGTTTAAACAGAATTGTTTCGTTATATTCATGGTAAAGAATAGGAATTGGATTAAAAAATCACCAACAAGTCTCAGAAGGTATATCCGAATCTATCTTCAACAATTTCGATGCAATTTATTTCTAAAGTAAGCTGTGACACCACATACCCAAGCGCTTATAAATGTCCACTAAGAAAACAACAAATTGTGCTGATAATTACTCACTACATTATTAATTAATGATGAAATTTCCATACCGTTCTCGGTAGCAAAAGCGTAATTATAATTTAATTATAGAGTTCTGATTAATCCCGTTGAGATCCAAAATTTGAGATGTTGGAGAATTATCCGGAGAGTTTGAGCTGTCTAGACAGTGGCGTATTTCGCTTGCTGCTGGAGATAATCTCAAACTGTAAATTTTAAACAGCGATGAGAATATATACATGCATGACAGTACTTGTTTATATAGATAAAACTGCGAAACATCGAGATATTATTCTCTAATACTACACAACTACATTACCATTTTTCCTTATTTCGCGATGAAAACAAAAAAAAAACAAAATGTTCTTCTCCATTGCTGATATTAAAGGAGACCTCAGTGAGTGTATTCGTGCTGTTTTGCAAGAATGTGCATTGAAAATGTAATGATCTTGGAAAAAGTACAGTATGCAACACGTTGATAATCCTCTTCAGTCAATGAGTTTATTAATCAGTCGCTCCTTCCTGCTCCGTTAGTGACTAAAGTGGTGTTTATCCAACTTGTTGCGAAAAAACTCAAAATGTCAAAGATATATAATATTATAAAAATAGAACAATGCAATAAAACAATATAAATTATCTGGTTTAAAACAAATTTTATTATAAATCTCACTAGGTTATTTAAGGTGATTGTTTATGTAGAATGATGGGGACTTTTTTGTAACCACGAGAGTTTTAAAATTTCCCAACACAACAAGACTCGTCTTTCATATGAAATTTGTTGCAGTCGATTGAGTACCGATATTTTTGGTGCAATTTTATAGGTTAATTATTCAAATTTTCTAGATCTTCGTCCCACGAACGCCAAATCACAATTGCCCAAAGAAAATAGTTTTGCGTCCCACAGAACTCTAATATTCAAGAATAATTTTTCATAAAGTGCTAATTAAAATTTGTTACTTTAAGTTGGAAAGTTCCACTAACAGGTTAATTAAAATACCGGATAATTATTAATATTGTCTAAACAGAAACGTTTAATCTCAGGAGATTCTAAACTCTTTGTAGCTTTTGTTGTTTGTGATTTACACGATAATAATTTGATTATACCATTGTATGCAGAGGCTAAACCAAAAAGTCCGAAAGCTCCAAAATATTCATAAGAGTACACGAATTTAGGCATTCAAGCTCTTGCCGAGTTTGATACCACCAGAGTACAGAATGATAAAAAATCAGATAAACAGTTAAATGAATTCAAGAGACTGACAACTAAGTAATTACAACTAAATGAGTAAAACAGCAAAATTCGATAGTTTTAATGGCGGTGCCTAATCCAGTAATATTCATTTAGCGTGCTTTATGAATTCACGTACCTCCTAATATCACAATAATTTATTATTAATGCAACGACGCAGCATCGTTACAATACACCAATATTTTAATAATTTAAAGCTGCACTTCGGTCGTTTGCTTCACCGCATAATTAATATGAACGAGTAATGATTTATGAGTATTAATAATATTCGAAACATTGTTTCCGAAATGACAAATTTCTAATTACTGACACAGTAAAACATCAAATGCCCAATCAGCGTGGACGATATTCCTTTTTTTTTTGCTTTCGAGTGGATGTCATTATATCGTTGTAATTGAAAGTCAAGTACCGCCCCCTCAATTAGCAATATGTCGATGACAGGTTAATACGACTTGAATCAGCTGCGATCATTTACTATAGGTTATTTGTTGTGGAATATAAAAGCGTTGGGAAAAACATCATTTTTTAAGTATATTATTTAAATATGTTAGATAATAGTATTTTACGCAACAAGCATTATAAACTATATTTTAGTTTCTAGTTTGTTTAATCACGAATGGAGGGCAGCCGAGTGACGAGTATCTGAAGAAATTCATCAGAAGAATGGTGTAAACTCTTATAAAGTTGGCATTTCAAAGTGACCATTTGGGTATAATTGGGTATCTTGGAGAAAGGGGCAAAAAATAAGGTTTTCAATTTATTTAATCAGGCTTAAGGTCTGAATTACATTTTTAAAACATTTCCATATTAAACTCGTAAAATAACTTGGTTAACTTTCGCAACTTCGTTTTGATGGAGACTTTTTAATTAAATGTCCAATATTGTTCTAATATATGTAGTCAATCGTTTTTTTCCTAAATCGCCACATCTGTAATTTTTGAAAAAAAACGCCTTCATCCTCACGATTTTTTGTCTTCAGATTAAATTTTTTTTTTTTGGTAAAGGGTTTCGACAATTGCCACTTGGTTATTTTATATCGCTAAAATAATTTTCTAAGCAAACTTGATTTAATTTAATATTTTTTCTACTTCCGTCTGTAAAATGCCTAATTACACATCGATCTAGCGTGCGGGAAGCGTCACTTTACCACGTCAGTTTCGTTTCCCACGAATCCGAGCCATTTCGGACATTTCCGGGATTTGAGAGCGATTGGATGTTTTCGGAGATATTTCCCACGCTTTGAATTTTGACGTTTGTCAATTCTAAAGGTCATGTCAGTGAATGAATTTGTGTTGTTTTGCAAAAATGTACCAAAAACTAACGGTCCTAGAAAAAGTATAGTATGCAACACGTTCGGTAAACTTTTACCGCTTACCGCACTTGTTGTATAATATCCGCGTACCATCATGATTCTCACAATTTCTTTCGGTTTCTCTCTTTTTAGATGGAGATCTCTATATGGAAATGCGATGCTTCTGGTAGTGTTGACAACTGCGAATACATAGTGAAACAATTTAGGCAAAATGGCGTTTGTAAAATATTGAACCAAAAGAATCAAGTGTACACGGGTTTCCTAGAAGACTTTGATAAACCATTGGTTTGTCCAATCAAACCGGTAAGACCGTTGTTAGGTATTATGTGTAAATAGTGTAAAATGTAAGGGTTAAAGCTATGCGGAATGCTGCTAATACTAGGCGTTGTAAAATTAACTCTAAAATGAAGTAGGAATAGATATTTTGACACACTTTCTTAGGCCCACCCCACTAGCGACACCAAATTATTTCGACTACAAAATGTTTGGTTATAACTACTAACCAATAATTATGTAAAAAACTTTCCCAGTATATTTACTTAATATAAATGCTGAATTATTTAGTGCAGTAATAAAAAGTTCAAACTCACACACTTATCCTAAAAATGATGCAGCAATATCGTATAGTTTAAAAGGCTTCTCTCAAGTCAGCACTTAAAACCACAATCGAGTTATCCATTCAACCATAACTCCTTCCACGAATTGATAACTGTTTCAAAAGTTTTCGTTTCCTTAATTAAGGCAAATAATTATTATGCAAATGAAAGAGCAAAGCCATTCCGTGATAATTTCTTTTATTACTTAATAGATGTCGCAAAGATCGCTTAAACTACCTCGTTATTTCAGCTAGCTTAATGGCTTTCGGAGCCGTTATAGTTCCTTTTCCTTTTGTGTTATTACCATTGATTAAGTCCTTTTGTTTTATCGCCAATAACGGGATTTGGGGATATTTAAGGCATTGATTTTAAAAGTATTTAAGGAAAGTGATTTAAAGGACGACTGGCGGTTCGAGCGATATCCTTTATAACAACACTGATTAATTCCAAATGTTTCAAAACCGTTAATATTCACCTTTAAAAGTTCTATTGGATTAAAGCAATGAAATCATAGAGTTGAAATCATAAAAAATTACATCATTCTATTGTTTTTGAAGGCTGTTGAATATTGTTGTAAAACAAACAAAAGTTAAGTATAGTTAAGTGAAACTATCTTGCCAATGTGGCAATACTTTAAGTTCTTTGTTTTCTCCAAGTTTCCACATTTTTCAATTTGGATGTTCCAGTTTTTTATCGTTATTTATACTCAATTCCCCTCTTTAACCATTTAATGCCTTTTAAAATTAATAATTATACATTATGTTTGCCTTTAAACAGAGTTTATCTACTTAAAATATCTATCTATCTATCTATCTATCTATTATTTAATATCGAAGTAACCAAATTTGGTGGTGGCACTTGGACTGTACCTGAGATAATTTAGTGTCGATGGTGGGGTGGGACTAAAAATTTTGTTCCACTTTAAGAGACGGTTTCAGTTTCAAGTTTGCGATATAGCTGGAGCGAAAGTCGTTTTGACAACTTTGATCATGATCAATAATCTAAATTTAAATTGGCAAAAACGTAAAACAATTACCAGGACGAAATTGCTTTGGTTAGAACTCGCATGTTTCTCTGGAAGCTAATTGTAACATGTATTCAAGTATTTTATACACGAGTCTAGCAACTACTTCATTTTAGAGAATAAAAATTTATTTATTATATCATTTGTTATTTTTAATTTTTTATTCAATACTATGTTCGTTCTTTATTTCCTAAACTCTACATCATGGTCATATGCCTCCAAGGTACCATATCTCGGAAATTAGTCGACTTCCAGCTTTACGATAATACATTTTACGACTACAGTAGCCAAAACATTGGAATATATTTTCAGATCTTCAAGTTGCTCGGAAGAGCTCCCTTGTTTTAGTGGGTTTTCTATAAATTGCGCCCAGTAGATGTCTCAAAAACTACATGCTACACAAATGACGCATGTAATAAAATAAAGTAGTGAGGAATGATTCAATGTTCTTTTTTAAATGCCCGCTATAACTTTAAATCACTAAATGGATTTTAAAAACTTTTCCATTTAACCTGTGTTTAGTTCTTAGTGATTCCATTAGAGAGGGAGAGAGAAAATATTTCAAAATTCTATATAAAATAGCACCTAAATATCGTCGTGAAAACCATTGATATAATAGTAACCTTTGAACAACTTAGTAATAAATTTTTTTATTGGAAGTGTCGATCATGAATTGTCCTATCAATTTCTGACTCTGGTTAGTCCGTTTCAATCTTCATCGTGTTGACTTTCGATGGACTCCCCAATAAAACTTTGCCGATGTTATGACCCATTGTTATTGGGTAAAACCATTAGGAAAAAACTGATTCTTACTTGAGTGACAATGATATTTCATATTTGTGGTAGTGTTGAGTAATAGTTTTTACTGTGGGTTTCGAAAAAGTTATTTTAGGAGAGTATACAATGTCGCGTCGAAATCATTAGCCGGTTGATGCCAAACAGGTTGCGAAAAATGTGTATGAAACTTTAATCAATAGAGGATTTCAACAAGAAGCTGTAAAAGAAACCTACTTACAAAAACGCCAATATCGTCTGTAAGGGATATTATTAATAATGGAGAATTCAAAGAAACGAATAAATGTAGTGATTTTCAAACTCACAGTATGGACAAGAGTGATTAAAACCTAATAAGAAGGAAAATCTATCGTCTTTATCAAAACGAAGTTGTTCCTACCTTAAATAAACTGAAGAAACTAGAAGAAGATGAAACAAATATAAATATAAGCCGTCCACCGAGTTGCTTGTAAAATGGGATTTAGTACCGCAAAATAGACAAAAGGCAAGTAGTAATAGAATCGCACAGATTACGCACTTGGAGATTTCATTACTTTCCAGAAAGTAAAAGATATAGATTAGACAATAGATCCATAATTTACTTCGATGAAACATGGTTCGATACACATGACATTGTATCCAAAGGATGGGTTGATTTTCCTCGAAACTGTCAAACGAACGAACTTTCAAATAAAGGAAAACACATCACCATAATACACGCTGGGTTAGAAGACGGATTTGTCCCAAACTGCTTGCTGTTGAATATTAAGGATTCTAGGCTTGGATTATCATGAGGATACAAGTGCCGACCTTTTTGAAAATTGGTTTCAAAACAATCTTTTAAAAAATATTCCCAAAAACAGAGTTATTGTCAAGTTGAAAAACTGAAATCTAGGAATATTTGTTAGAAAATGATATTTATTTTGCGTTCAATAACAAAAATGCTCAACTTTTGGAAGTCCTAAATTCATATACAATTAAAAAACTGGCCAGGCTGAGCATTCTGTTTTACGTCTAGAGCATTTGTGGAACCAAATTAAAGGTCAGAGGAGAAAATGTTACTCCTACTTTAAATCCCAGTGTTGATACAACATAAATCCTATTCCAATTAATCTTAATGACGACTCTTATAGTGAAACAGGATTAGATGTAGACATTTAGAATAAAAATGTAATTATGCATAGATATTCCTAGCTATTCATTTATTGTATATATTTAATGCACGATGAATATTGCAATCTACTATACTAGAACATCCTTCTGCAAACGAATTTTATAGCACCTACCATTCTCAGGCACACGAATCTTCTTTATGTAGCGTCTTATATGGATACCCAGGGAAGAATCAGTTCTACAGTCAATTAATTTACGCACCATAATAAAAATAAATCCCAACCTTGGTTATATTGTGTGTAATGGCGCCTATCCGCGAAATCGCCGAACAACCGAGCGATCCGACGAAATTGCCAGATATAATATATCATTTTATTGCAAAACGTCGTAAAGTTTACGGCGTCTTAAATTATTTTATGGTGATTGCACGGGGTTAAGTGAAGTCTCCAAATCTTATAAAAATGTTGCTTTCAACGCGGTCGGCCTGGGATTTTCCAAATTGCCGGACATTGGTTTACCGGAATACGGTGAAAGTTCGGGTGAAGGTCAAGTTAAAACATAATCATTTAGAGTATATAATTATAGCAAAGCAAAGGTAGAGTTCGTAAACCGCATCAATAATACATAAAACAAACTTAATTTTCACTAAGTAAAACTTTTTCAAATAGCGCCGGTCATAAATCCTCATCACACGCTTCCGTGAAATATTCTTAATAAAGTTTCCAACTTTTAATTCATGAGTCGCTTTATTTACTAATTATTCTCCTAAGTCTCCAGACGGTTTGTATTTATCCCTACCCGAAATTATACTTCTCCCGCTGCGTCCTCTGCAGTTTTAAATTTCAAATAAGATAATTTAAATACGCCCTCATACATTTTTATCAGTCTTTAAGTAAGCATTAAGTGATTATTGCCCGATGCACGTGGAATTCGTATAATATCGACGTTGGAAACTTACGGCGAACGAAAAGGAAAATGCGAGTTTATACAAAAATCGATAACTTGACTTCCAATTTTCGATTAAATTGGCAAAACAGTTCGGGAATGGAATATTCCTAGAGAAAAGTGCCTAGATTAAACCAATTGCTTATTGTCATAGTACTTCTGTTAGGAAATAAAAAAAAATATTAATTCAAAGCAATATTCTTGCTAGCCCAATGAAAATGAACGAATTTTTTTTGCAGAGTGGGCTTTAAAAGAGTTGGACAATTAAGATTATGATTAAGAAATTTAACAAAACCATTACGTTAGCAACAACACGTCTCTCATTTATACTCAATCACTTCTAGTGATTTAAAGCGTCGCTAACCCAATTCAGGTGAAATATAAATTTTACTGGCATCTTTTCAATACGCGATATATACTTTATTGAGAGATCAGACAAAGAAATCAAATTGTAAAGGATTCCTAACGAATGAATTATAAAGGGTCAAAATAAATATATACATATATAAAAATAAATAAATAAATATATATATATATATATATATATATATATATATATATATATATATATATATATATATATATATATATATATATATATATATATATATATATATATATATATATATATATATATATATATATATATATATATATACAGTGTGTCCAAGATAAGGATGCACAGCATGGGGATCTCGGAAACTATAAGAGATACAGTGTCGGTTAAATTAGACAAAAGTTGCGCATTTTGATACCGAACAAGATCCCGTTTTACAAATTTGAAAATTCCAAGCCGTTCCGGAAATATCCGAGAAAAACCGAAATATTGCGATTTCGTTTTTATTATTTTTTAAAGCTATTTGAAAAGATATGAAAAAACGGAAAACACTTTTCCATTGGCACTTTTTAATCTCTCCAAATTGACGTTAACAAATTTTCATTACAGCGTTTCGATTCCATGGAACCACCATCAACTTTGATTTTTCTTATGGGACGGAAAAAAAGTACACACAGTATTAGGTTGTGCTTTTCATTGCGAATTCAACGATGTACGATACAATACGGTTACTTATGTTTTTATCCAGAAAAATGGCTTTTTAATACATTTCTAGTATTTTATTGTAGTAGGCCATGAGATCCGAACGATGAAAGGCAAAAGAAAATGGTTGACAAGTTCGAGTTAATGTGTTTATTTATTTACTAACTCTAACTGTTCATTTAACATAACAACTAAATCCAACAAGTTAATGAAAAACAAATTCTATAACAAATGTTCGAATAAATGACCTCCATTTTCTAGGCATAAGTACGCCCGTCTCACGGTAGACTCCAAAACACGACTTAACATTTCAGGAGTAATTTTATTAAACGCTGCTCGTACTGATTGACGTAATTGTTCCTCGTTGTCAAAACATTCTTTGAATACCTCATTTTTTATGTAGCCCCATAAGAAAAAGTCCAAGGGAGTTAAGTCCGGGGACCTTGGAGGCCAAGGTGTTTCACTGTAAGTCCCAACGTATTTTCCATCAAACCGTTCAGTTAAATATTGGCGAACTTCTCTGGAGTTATGGGCTGGGGCACCATCTTGTTGGAACCAGCAGCCTTGCACAGCGCCTAGCGGTAAATCATCTAAGGCATCTTCTAAATCGTGCCTCAAGATGTCAAGGTACCGCTCGGAAGTTAAGGAATTATTATAGAAAATAGGGCCTATAATCTTGCTACCAAAAATCCCACACCAAATATTAAACCCAAAGCGAACTTGATGTCTGGATAGTCTATTAACACGTGGATTTTGTTGCGACCAATAGTGTGTATTGCGCCTGTTATAAATACCGTTATTGGTCACCATACTTTCATCAGACCAAATCACTTTATATGGAAAATTAAAACTCTCATCACACATCCTGGTATACCACTCACAAAAATGTCTACGTCGTTCGTCGTCACCCGGTTTTAATCCTTGACATATTCTGAATTTGTAAGGCTTAAATTCATTTTTCCTTAAAATAAACTGAGCTGTAGATTTAGCTACCCCATTCTGGTCTTCAATTTCTCTGGTAGAAGTTTGTGGATTTTCGATAACAGATTGTAGAACAATGTATTGGTTTTCTTCATTGGAATGTTTTTGTCGGGATAATGCAGGCTTCTTAAATGATCCATATTCTTTCAGATTAAATAACAAACGCCGAAAAATATCTTGTCAGGTTGTCTCCGCTCTGGGTATTTGTTAGAATACATACGCTCGGCTTCCACACAATTTCTTTGGCATCAGATGTAGCAAGACAGCATATCACATTTTTCTTCGTTTGTAAAATTACCTCCCTCCATTGTAGAACAAAATAAATTAGAAAAAGACAACAACAATAAAAATACAAAAACAATAACTAAAGGAATAAACTTATGATCGACTGATAACAAAGACAAATAACATTAATGTGTCATTGAAATTGACTGGATGTCATTTTGTCATGGCCTACTCCATTTAAATGCTGAAATGTATTAAAAATCCATTTTTCTGGATAAAAACATAAGTAACCGTATTGTATCGTACATCGTTGAATTCGCAATGAAAAGCACAACCTAATACTGTGTGTACTTTTTTTCCGTCCCATAAGAAAAATCAAAGTTGATGGTGGTTCCATGGAATTGAAACGCTGTAATGAAAATTTCTTAACGTCAATTTGGAGAGATTAAAAAGTGCCAATGGAAAAGTGTTTTCCGTTTTTTCATATCTTTTCAAATAGCTTTAAAAAATAATAAAAACGAAATCGCAATATTTCGGTTTTTCTCGGATATTTCCGGAACGGCTTGGAATTTTCAAATTTGTAAAACGGGATCTTGTTCGGTATCAAAATGCGCAACTTTTGTCTAATTTAACCGACACTGTATCTCTTATAGTTTCCGAGATCCCCATGCTGTGCATCCTTATCTTGGACACACTGTATATATATATATATATATATATATATATATATATATATATATATATATATATATATATATATATATATATTTCGATATGTTGTTTTGAAGCTTATACCTCCGAGTTTGTAGACTGTATTCCATTATTAAAAAGTTATCAAAATTCAGTATACATAAAACCTCTCAAATTCACCGAACAGAAGGGGTCCAGGTGGAATCTTTATGGAACTGCAGAAGTTATTGTCTTAAACTTGGATTTCGAGTTATTTATTTTAAAACGCTGCGACCTATTAGAATCGTGTCATTCATCTAATGCTTTGGAAAAATCGATGTATACGTCAACTCCAATGACTGTATATTTAATGTTGAAAAAATTATTACGGAATTTTGCAAAAATCGTATGCATGTAATGCATGTAATTATTAACCAAGTTTATTGAATCATTTTTGCGTATCGGAATAATTGGCTCCTTTTTCCGTGCATCGGGAAAAATCCCCTCTTTAATAAACTTGTTAAAAATTAAGAGTGGCGGCAAAGGTCCCTGCATTGCTCGATAAACAAAGCTTTTAATCTATCAAGACCACCACTCTTGCTTATGTCAAGAGCATTAATCTTGGTTATAATAATTCTTGTATAGTAGGTTTGGAATTATAAAAACTCGGAACCCACAAAGGCAACAACCAGAAACTCTTAATGTTCTTTTTTAGGTTGAACTCTAGCTTACAAAGGTACTTCCCGTTCTTAACTTTTAATTACATTGAAATAGACAAGGGATTTTAAATTTGAATCTAGTTTTATTGTATATAGACAAAGCGCAAATATATTATTGTTTTTGCTAAATTAGCTCTGTATGCTAGAAATTATCGTGATTGTTATTTTTAGGGAGAATACGTCGTAAGAAAGGGAAAATTTAATCCTTCATTCTTCAAATTCTTGCCTGTCAGAACTAATATATTAAAAGCGGAACTAAAGGGCTTCGACGGCGGTCAACTTATATCCTGCGCAAATGTGCAAATCCGTATCATGCAGTCCAGAAAATTTGGATAAGAAAGCGAAATTGTTGCCTATGCTTGTGAAAATATATATAATCGAATATCCAAGTTGTTCTTATTTATTTAAATGTTAAAAAGGAATTTCGTGCAGTGGATTACTGATCTGGCGTGGGTGGACTGGTGATTTTGCGAAGTAAAATATTTAATTTATATCGTCGAACCAACATTTATGTCTTGGAAAAGAGAACATTTTCAAATGTGTTTTTTTAATTTGTGGGCAAAATGAATAGGAAAGAAATACCAAAACGCTGATTTTATTATTTTGAACATTTGAAAATTTTCATTTTCTCTTTTCCAAGACATAAATGTTCAGGTGAATTTTCTTATTTTTTTAAATAATACTCATGAAAAAAGTGATCTGCTATTTTGTGATCAATGCATAATCTTTAAACGTTAGAAAGGGTAAGAGTTTCACATTATATCAATGTATATGCGCGTTGCTTCGAAGGTTTTTTGGCGGATGAGGTAATTATAAATTTATTTTGCTAATACATTTTTAAAAATGCAACTTTTTAAATATTTAGTAAGAATATACCTTTAAAAAAGGTCCATTCCCCATTTAAATAAATTAGCAAGGAAAAGACAACAATCTTCGTTGTTAGCTGTCCTGGTTCGTAGTGGAAATTGCTTCAGTTTTCTATGACGCAGTTGATATTTTAGTTTAGATGGAGTTCGCTGACAAAACGACATAAATATCTCTCAGAATAAGGATTAAGTTTCAATCCATTCAATATCGTGTCAACAGGTTATTTCGTGCGACAAGTACCGTAATAGAATGAAATCTCTTAAGCAAAGTGTACAGTAAAGTGCAAACCCATTAAGGCACATAATGGCATTATGGCGAGGCCATTAACGTCACACAAATTTATCCGCTAGGTGTGATAGTATTTGTCGTCGTAAATTGTTTATTTATTAAATAACATCGTTTTAGTCTAAACAGAAACGGTTCTCGTTTAAAGTGACAAACTTAGATGGTCACTAATTTCGATTTGCAGAGCTGGAAAGCAGTATGTACGCTACGAAACGTATTCATTACAGTTTAAAATATACTACCACCAGAAACGTAAATTGTACAAATTTGGTCTTTGTTTAAGTAAACAACCTGTTCCGGCGGTTCTTTAGAACGAATGCAATTCGATTCTACTAACGGTCATCAGTGGTGAATGTGGTCTATCTTGATAGATCAAAGCAAAACTTACAATTACAATTATGTCGATAAAGAAAAGATTCTGCGAAGTCAAGAACTGGTAGATGGTAGTTAATGACATAACTTACGGAAACCATTTGTTTGAGCGATAAATAGTAAGTTTGGATGGTTTATTTTACTGATTTGTTTTAATTTTTTCCTATTTTTGAATTTCAAAATTTTATCTTCTGTTCGAAGATACAGAGCAAAATTAACAACTATGACCATGTTCTTATATTCTTTATCCTTTAACATATGTACTCTGAGGCTACAAAGAATTTAGTTTATACTATTTTCACCTAAATATCAACACTATCTTTAGGTTAATTCGGTAAAGTTGTATACTTTATTTCGTTTGGTTGCGGATTATACAAAAAAAAAAATGCAAAACATCAGATATAGCTCATAATTTCATACGCTTCCTGTGTTACATCTCGTAATTTTAAAAGCTGCTAAAGAAACGCTTATTTTTATTTATCTTTCTATTTTGATTTTTGAGTTTTCCTTTTACGTTTTTGGAATATTTGTTTTGTTATTAATATGTGTCGACGTGACATTTTCTTATGCAAATTATTAATATATCTGTTTCGAAAGATAATCGCTATAAAATGGCGGAATTGTGTTATTTGGGCAGGAATACGGCTTTTTAAAGATATATTTGAAGGTGGGCTTATATGCAAAAATATAAAAAACGGGTTTCGAATGATACTTTAGGATTATAGAGAAAATTTGAAATATAACACTTACATGGATACACTGTAAGGTCGTGATTATTACAACAATGACTTTTAATTGTCCCATATTTATTTTCAGATGTGATGCAAGTTTGTGAGATTTGTATGTCTTTATCCCCGTATTATTCCTCTTATGAAGTCATACTAATTTCATCATCGACACCGTTTTCAACCCTTTTAGCGGCACGCCTTGACTCACATGAAAACCATTTTTTATCAGTTAAGATGGAAGATTGTGAAAATTAATTTGAAACACTTTAAATATTATGAACTATCTCCCACCCAAAGCTAGTCACGGATCAACTTTAAGCCGGGACTTGATCGAGAACCGATCCTTTCTGCCCTAAGGAAGGTTTAATTTTCTATGAAATATAATCAGATTAAAAGGGTTGCCTAAGCATTCTACTCTCAAGCAACTTTACTGCCATGTCACTCTTTAATAAGTTGACCTCTTTATAAGAAGTGACGTGAATAATAAGGCGTGGTTTCCGGCACATGCAACAATTTAAATTCAATTCAATCCAAAGAGCAAGTTAATAAAAAGGAATAAATCAACATTTTTTGCCTGAAGTTAACACCATGTAAATGGTAAGTTTGAATTGATTCTGCAAGTTTGCATTTTCAACTAGAAAAATTAGTTCCTTTGTTTGAGAATGAAGCAATATTTACGCCACATTTACATCAGCCCAGCGATTATACAATTTTAATTAAAATTTCTGAATACTAAAATTAAAGGCGCACCGGAAAATGCTAGATTCGCGTTTTCATTCAGCTCTTGCTTGACAAAGTTTTAATGAGTTTTTGTGTCAAAAGTGATACAAAAAAAGAATATTTATTATAGGCTTGCGCCACACGTTTATTAACTTTAAGACACTAATCTAATAGTCTCGACTGTTTTATAATTTCCATACATTGAAGTCATTTCCATCAAAAATAACAGTAATGATAATTTCTTTTTACTGTTATCATTTAGTTGTTACAAATATTACTAAATTGTTACAACGTATAATTAAGATACCTAAGTTTAAGTGTTGTGTCTGAATTTGTAATACTTGTGCTTCCTCCTGTTTTTTTTTGTTTTCAATGGTAACGCGATAAATCAGTTATCAGAAAATTTGCACTGTTGGAAGGCAGATTAGAAACTACATTGTGCGTCATGTTTTGCAATGCAATTAGAAAAATTCCATTAAAAATACAAATGAAGCGCTGAAATGCATTTTTGCGACAGAATGTGGTTGGAAACGATTTCGCATTTTAGAATCGTTTTAGCGGTTGCTTAGTCACGCCACGCTGATAGGTAAATAAAATTACTAAGCGAATTACGCTGTTTTCCTGCAATTTTTCATGCTTATTAACCAGGACCAGGGACGATTTATAACAACCTCATTTCGAGATTAAAGATAACTACCCATTATATCGCAATTTGTAAAATTTACCACGTCATTACGCACACTAAATTTTAACACCTTTTTCTTCCAAAAATTAGTATCTTGTTTCAGAAGATTGTTTGCAAAATTAACAGATAATTTTTTAAAGAGCAGTTTGATTCAAAGCAAATTGTCGAAAAACCGCTACAATAGTGTACAATATAAATGCCTATTTGAGTTGAATCTTTGTGCATAAACTAGTTCTGCTCGGATTAAAAGGAGTTGTGTGATATTTAAAAACATGAAGTTCTCCTATATACATTGTTGTACATTTTTTACAAATTTCAAATATAAAAACATAAAGAGATACTATAGGAGTACCCATTGTTGAATGTTGAATATAAAGGGCATTTCATTTCAAATTTTAACGATTTCCTGTCAAATCGGCTGTGGCAGGTAACTAAAAGTTTTTCTCGCAAAACGTTTATTGAACTGTTGGGTGAATAAGCCTGTTATACAGGACGAAGATTTAAATTACCAAATCCATGTCCAATATTAGATCCCTCAGAACCCTAAAAAGTACGGATAAAAAAAAATCGTTGACGGTAATTATTTAAAATCAGGCAAATCCAATGGGAAAGCGTAAAACAAAAACACGCGCCGTGAATTCGAGTTTCGACGAAAGAGGCTCCGGAATAATTTGGCAGAGACATATTACCAGTTTTCCCAACTTATATTGTCAAATTTTCGAACCGACAAAGTTTTCCAAACTAAGTTTCAGTTTTTCCGTAATCCTGTCGAAAAGATAAATCTAACCAGGCGCAGTTTATCTGCTTTAGGTCTGCACGTAAAGTATTAAAAAATTGAAATCCTCCCAATGATCCGGGTAGAATTTATTTCGAATTGTTCCCGTCCAGCAACAGACATAAATCTTGAAAACATACGCCCCAAAAATCAGTAGCGGGTCCCGACATAAAATCGACGTTATTATTTACAAAGGTCTCTTATGCCATTTGTTTTGTGTGTTAGCAATTTTTTTTTGTGATGTGAGAAGGTTTCAAATTAAATTTACCGTACCAAATACCACTCGAGAAGCGTATTTTGAGAAACTATTATTATTATACTCGTACTTTGTCTTTAACATTAACAACTGTATATTTTGCCAATATTTGTATGGGTTTTATTCTTTCATCGCGGTTGGGTTGGGTTTTTGGGTCTACTGACCTTTCTTATCGTTTACTGTTTTTCATAGTATCCGATTCTATGAGATTTGTTTCCAGACCTTAGCTTCACACTGGTCGCAATAAAAGTGTAATTTTAAAGACTGAGCTGCATATGCATATAATGGGTCTTTTTGTTTCGATGTATAGAACTTTAAGTTGGCATTGCTGTTCAAGATGGCGACCGATTTAACAGCTGTGAAGTAATTTATTCTCAGTTTGGTTTGGAAATTCATCATGAATAGACTCACGCCTGAACAACGCTTGCAAATGGTGCAATTTTATTTCGAAAATAATGGTTCTGTGCGGAATACGTATCGCGCACTACGTCCATTTTATCGTCGACAAAATCGTGCATCAGAGCAGTTAATTCGATTAACCATGGAACGTTTTCGCACCACGTTTACTCTTATTGATAACTCGCAACCCCAGAGACGCCGTAAGGTGCGTACAGAAGAAGCTATTGCTGCTGTAGAGCGTAGCATTGAGGAATACCCGAATGAGTCCATCCGCCATCGAGCACAGGATC